CATTGCCCTAATTTATTGTATTGGGTGAATTGCATTTTGCACCCTAGAAATGACCTAAATTGGCAATGTTAATCCTCTAATTATATCAAAATGCACCCTTCATCTATTTTTTCGGCGATGTATTAACTTAAATATATACTTTGAGAGTGAAATTTACCAATTTTTAAATTTTAGGGTGCAAAGTGCCAATTTAGGTCATTTATGGGGGGTGCAAACTGCAATTCACAGTTATTATATTATATATTCCGAATTTCCCGGGTTTGTGTTACGGAAAAAGTAATGCAACAAAATGAACGAAGCCCATTTAAACTGGACCTCGATATTTTAGGAGCTGAGCAGCCCAATTACAACCTAATTGAATTGGGCTGAATTACCTGACGCAGCCCAACAAGTCTTCCATTGCAATTTTTTTCTGTTTTTTAATTATTTTGGAACGAAATTTGAACTAATTTTTTCACTTAAGAAATTTGGATTTTTGTCCAAAGAAACTATTATTACTAATGAGATAGAAGGTTAGGGAATTCGTTGAATTATAGATATGGTTAAAATTCATTCATATTTGCCATTTGCTGAATAGATACAAAATTTTGGTGTGAATGAATAAGAAGTTGTTGGACTCATTTAAATGACCTATTGAACGCGCTTGATGTTATTGATAACGTATGCATGATGAATCTGCAAAAGAACCGATAAAATGTTAAATGTCCATTAAAATTCATCAAGAACAATGTAAAATTAAGAAGCATATATGGGATTCTAGTCCTCTCATTTTATTTTTTATTTTTTATTTTGCAGGTGGAGTGATTAATTATAATTTGTTAGGCCTTTCCGTCTACTCTAGTTAACATGGTTGTTGAGTACAACAAGATGATACTAATTCTAGTTTAAATTACGAATATTACTTCAAGTAAAAGTGAAAATCGAAAGGATGGGATCGGAACTACAACTTATTAAATTGTTTTTTTTTTTTTTTGAAAGTACAAAACCAATTTCAATTCCGTTAGAAAAATTGAAAAAAAAACTCGGAATAATAATAATACGTAAAAAGAAAATGTGATAACTCATGGCCACACTCTTAACTAGTATTGAGCATATAGGATTATTGATTGCTAGTGAATTACTTTGTTAATACTTAGGCCTTGTTTGATTGCCTCTGAATCACCTCTGATTGGGCAACATGTCTGATTCGGTCAGATATCTTTTCATTAAGTGCATTTGGTAAAAACTTCTGAATCACAAAATTTTGCTCTTACCTATCCAGACGGAAATTTCCATCTGATTCATTAAGTGGTGCACTGAATTAATATTAGGCAAATTTGTCCTTATAAAAAAAAATAAAAATTCTAACTTTATCTATGCAGCAACATACGTCATCCCTTTGTAGTTAATAATTATTTGACCACAATCTTCTTCTTAAAAAATAAGTAAATAATAGTTAATTTTTGTGTTGTATTTTTTTATCTTCTTTTTATTTGTACTCTTAATATTTACGTAATAAATAAAGGACAACATAATAAAGTTGTATTATTTAAATATAATAAACTTTCAATTATCAAACAAATATTATTTGGGGTTTATATTTCAAATTTATTTATTATTTAAATACTTAAAACTTAATACACGTAAATGTGTTTAATGTCCACCAAGATTACATACTTTGCTAATTAAGTTAATCAGGTTAATCAAGAAAAAAGAATTACATTTATACAATTATTTGTTGCTCATATAACAAATATTTTAGTATTTCTCCAAGGCTATAATAGTAAACTAACCTTATTCAGATGTTATTAATATTCAGCTATCAAATGAACTTAGTGGTTCAGTATTCAGTATTAAGACACAACTCTTAAACATTCAGATATATATTCAGCATTCAGCATTCAGTGCTTAATCCTATCAAACAGGCCCTTAATAGGATTATCGATGACTACATTCTTATAGTCTTTTAAACTGTTAATAAACAATATCTAATAGCTAGCCCCATGTCGTAAATCGCACATATATATACCTAATCATCTGAAACCAACGTGTATACAAATTAATTATTTTCTCATTTCACATGGATATATATATATATATATATATATATATATATATATATATATATATATATATATATATATATATATATATATATATGCAAAAGGCCCGTGACAAAAACACTTATTTAAAAGAGAGACATCAAACTTTTTTGTCTTTAAATAAAATCCCGCTCATTTAACTTATTTGCAAAAAAAGAAAATCCCTATATATATACCAAAA